TTCATTCGATTTAGGATTTTAGGAAGGATCCTGCTTTGGTTATTCAATATGGTAAATGAGTTTTGTATGTACCACGTGGATAAGTGAAACCAAAGGTGTCGATCATCACATGGTGTAAGGTCCCGTTTGATACGCATCTTTCCAGGTCCAAATAGATCTTTCTGGCTGAATGGACCGGAAAGACTGTTTGATTTGCACAAAAGAAGGGGTCTTTCCCGGTAAGATATATCTTTCCCAGAAAGCTCCAAAATCATATATTTCTGGCTGAATGGGCTGGAAAGACAATTATACACCAAAGCCCGCATCTTTCTTTCTTTATTGGATTCTTAATTTTTTTAAATAAGTTTTTTTAATTTATTTGTTATTGAGTTATTACTTTTTTTCATCATTCAGCACAGTCAATCAGATGTCCAATCAAACAACATGATTTCTTCCCCAATCAGAAAACTTCCCCAAACAGCATTTTCCCATACAAAATCTATCAAATGGACCTAAGATATAGTACAATGCCTTTTACAAATTTTAACAAAAAAAAACGTAACTATCATTCTTAATTGCAAGTCTATAATAAAATATTTTGTCGTTTACTAACTGAGATTAACCGGGTCAATTCAAGAGAAAACATGATTTCAACTTGGTCAGTTAAATCAAAATTAACCAATTCAGCATCTATAAAAATTGGTGATGAAAGGACAAACTCATATCAGTCATTCTTTAATTTTTTTTAATTACAATTATCTTATACTTTGAGTTTGCCGGTTTAAACCAAATATCGTCAAGCTTATAATGTATAAATATAAAAAAGAAAGCATTTATTTATAACAGAAAACTTTCTCGCTTTTTTCTTATTAGAGTCATTGCGAGACTCTACCATGCCCACAAATATAATATGTTCTATTGTCTATATTTATATCTTTTTTTTTTCCTTTTGATTGTCATGCTTAATAAGATCGGACCTTCAAAATATTTAAGGTGGTTTCTAAATAAATTTTGTTGTAAGGTTTTCTAAATTTAGGCGGGTCCCTGACCCGCCTTTACACAGTGTAGTCTAGTCTGTGACTCTTCTACAATGATATGATAATGTGAATTTTGAACATATTATAAGCCTTAAATTAAGGCTACTAATCATTTTTATCGTGATCTTAAATTGATATATTGATTATTGGCTTTCAATGATTGTAAACTATTAGTATCGCAAATAGATAAGGTTTGTTCACGTGCGTTTGCTTAAATTGAGCCAAAAACCAAATTAACACGAACATCTAAACAAATATTTTCTATTTTGTGTTCGATACTACTTGTTTTTGTTTGTTCGTTAAATGTTAAACGAGCATGACTAACGGACGGAACGAACATATATAAATGTGCACACATAAACATAAAAAAATGAATATAAATGAACATAGATTATAAATAACAAAAAACATTTAAACAAATAACTGTACATTAATAACAAAACTTTATATAAATCATAGAATATAAAACATGCAATGATAATTCAAAAATAAAGTCTAAATGTCAATTTCGTCCAATTATTTTCACGTAAATAGTAACTTGGAAAGTTCCACCATTTAGCATATTTACATCCATATATCTTCTTCAAAATTAAAACTTGTAAAGCTTCTATATAGATACGAACAAAAAGAACGAAACATTTAAAACAAGACCAAATAGAAAAACACCGTCTGAGACTGAAAAAAGACCGAACCATTCCGAAAATAATTAAAAAAAAGACTGTAGATCAACCCAAAACTATTTCGAGACCGGCTTGAGAATAATCTCAAAAAAGACTAAAAGCTAAAGTTTATATATACATATCATTGTGTTATTTACCTATTTGTTAATTACATATTACTCAATTTATTACTTTTATTTTATTAAATTTTAGAGTAAATTACACGAATGGTCCCTATGGTTTAGGGTAATTTATGCATTTGGTCCCTAGCTTATTTTTTTTAACTTGGAAGATCCCTACTGTTTACTTTTGTTACGTGCTTGGTCCCTGTCTTACTTAAAAAGACTATTTTTTCCATTGGTTTTTTAATTTATTTAAATAAACACACCTCCAACCCATCTCCTCACATTACCTTATATAACCCACTATTTTCCCCTATTTAAATAATAATATTTTTAGTTAAGATAGAGACCAAGCGCGTAACAAAAACAAACAGTGGGGACCAAGCGTGTAACAAAAACAAATAGTAGGGACCTCGGAGTTAAAAAAACAGGTTAGAAACCAAGCTCGCAAATTACCCCAAACCATAGAGACCATTCGTGTAATTTACTCTAAATTTTAGTTTACCATTTTTAGTATAATCTGAATATATCCTTTTGATGTGTATCTCAATGTTGTACATTAGTTCGATCGCTTGTATAACCAGACCATATGTTATTAGATAATTTATTAGACCATAAATAGAATACTTGGGCAAAAACTTATGCGTTGCATAGAAAAAAATTATAGTGATTAAAATTATGATAAATATATTACGCTGATTACAATTATATATATATATATATATATATATATATATATATATATAATATATATATATATTATAAACAATTATATCATTGTTATTAATTGAGAGTGTATAGTTTTTTATACTAAATCGTTATAATACATTCTAAATATTTTAAATATATGATAAAATAGATATCTATTAAAACCATATCATCTCAATAGTCACTACCTATGAACTTCATATGAAAACAAAAATAAATCAATTTATTTAACGGAAAATTTCATATATATCCCTCTAAAAGTTTAGATATTACGTCTATATCCTTGTAAAGTTTAAAATTACATGTATATCATTCTAAAACCATAAGATTTACATGTATATCAAAACACGTAATTTAATTAGAATTAAATTAATATAATATTTAAAAACTTATCCAAAATTCAATTTTATATATGATCTTCCTATTATACCCTTTAGATTAAATTATTGAGATTTAATAATATGATCAAATATAGGAGCAAATATCATTCAATCGTATATCTAAAAAATTCTTTTGCAAAAGTCGATAGAACTGTTGAATCAATTAATTCATTCCAATTAAATAATATAACTCAACTTACAATTGAATCATTTGATTATACGATTAATCAAGATAATTTTTTAGTCCTTTAACGTGTATGTATAAGGTCATTGACCTGAGTTTTTAAAAAAAAAAATCAATTGTGTAATACTTGAATGGCTCGGAACTGTATGTATGATGAAACAATTATCTAATGTGTAGACAAATCATAATTGCAAAAGAAATTACACGTTTGGCTACCAATCCCACCCAACGAGTCCATGAATATCTCACTCCTTTTTAATGGACTAAACACAGAACTTAAATGGGAATAGATACAAAAGCATGAAATTATATGTCACTCACCATCAGGTATGCCAGACCAAAACAAATCTAGAAAATTCCAAACCCTACCATACCATAATTTTTCTCCGACGGGTGAAGTACCATTGCAATTAAAAAGGAATTAATCAAATGTGGAAGAGAAGATACAGGTGATGAAGAAGACAACTTTTTTAGTCGAGGCTGCGATGAAGAGGACATGTTCGTCCACTTTTGCAAAAGGGTTTTTGAGATCAACAAGATGAGATCGAATGAACTGGCGTCTCATATTTGATATTTGATTGTAATATTAAATCTCAATTAAAAGGTTTTATATTTACTCTAAAGGGTATAACAGGAAGATCATATATAAAATTGTATTTTAGATAAGTTTCTAAATATTATATTAATTTAATTCTAATTAAATTATGTGTTTTGATATATGTGTAAATATTATTGTTTTGGAATGACATACAAGTAATTTTAAACTTTACAAGGATATAGACGTAATATCCGAACTTTAGAAGGATATATATGAAATTCCCCCTATTTAACAATTATCAAATAGTCATATCAATTTAATGGAATGTATGTGTAAGTTGTATGCTGATTTGTAATTTCTCTAGTTTTAACCACTGAATTGACGATGGATAATTTATTGTTCTAAATATTTTAACCAATGAATTGACAAATAAAACAATTTGGTTTGTACATTTGAATATTCAAAATCTCATTTTTTTCCTTTGAGTAGTCTTAATGAGATGTTCTTGTCCCAAGTCATTTCTTCCCATAAGATCTAGGTTTTTAAATTTTTTTTTATGAAATTTCTGAATGTATATTTCTCCGAAACACCAAGTTACTACAAAGAATATCAAAAGCTTACTTGTTATTATGGCTACACTGGTTAAACAAGTACCTCTTTTAAATCTTCGTATTTATGTTAAGTTTCAGAATCCGTTTGAAGCTAAAACCACCCATTAAGCCTTGTAAAAGAAGCATTTCATAGTTTATCCACAAACTGATGATCGTAATTCAACGTAAAACCACACAAAGCACTTCTGAGTCTCTCTTGACTCAGATAGAAGAGATCGTTGCCTGGGATCCACCCTCTTTTCATATCAAACATGTTTGATATCACAAATCTCACACTATGAATTTGCTTAATTCTTTTTCTTTGGCACACTCTTGCACTAAAATCCTTGTGATTTTACAAAATCTTGTTTTGATTACGATTGGTTATTTGATTTCTGAAGACACGAATTTTGGTCGTAATTCCAATGGATATTGTTCTAGCTTATGTAAAGCTGGAGGGTAGATCGATGATTCCGAACATTATAATTCCGAAAATGGTGATTCTGAAAAAGACCTTGTCATGGTATTAGAACATTCAAATCATGGTGCGACTTTTGAATTTCCCAGACATCTGCATATCTTTTATAACGGTCACTGACAGTAGAATGATAAGTTGGCATATTTTTTATTGGCTGGTTTCTCGGTGCTATGGCAACGTGAAACGATGATTTCTCTCTCCATTCAACATCTTTGATATATAAGCATCCTAAACGGTTCATTTTCTCTTACCGCAAAACACGGCTCACGGATTTTCAAGCAAAATCAAATCTCTCTTATGGTTCATCTTCGTCTTCACTATTTCTATGGCTTCCTCAGAGAATGTTTCGTTAATTTGCATTTGTGATCATGTTAAACGTCACCCCAACCAGAGTTTTCACATTAACCTTGATGCTTCCAGCTACAATGCTCTTATCAAACCTTTGATCGAGTGTTTGAAGTTCTCTCCATTGATGAAAGCACTGACAATGTCTGTAGATGTTCCTCTTGTTTATCTCTCCAAAGCTTTCTCAAATGTGATTTACAATAAGTCTGAAGAAGTCATCTATGTTGAAGTTTCAAGCCACAAAACATCAATTACAAAAGCCAATTTCTACAAACTTCTAGGGCTTGTTACATCTAACATCAGTTTTGATCCTAACTCAATTCCTGCCACAAGCTTAATCAAGATGTTCTTCCTAATGGGCTACACTGGTGACATCTCCTTACTATCGAAGTTTAGGAAATCATTCTTACCTCAAATGTAAAATGGTTTGTTTACTCTATTGTTCAGAAGTCGATCGGAAAGGGTTTTGGGTTCTAACAGTGCGAGCAAGCTCTTTTATACCTAGATCTACCGGTTATACCATGGTATCAACTTAGACATTGGATCTGTAATTTGGGCTCAAATCGTTCAAATCACTAGTTCATCCACCCATCATACCAAAATTTCATGTGCTCATTTTTGGTTGATTATTGTCAATAAAGCCCTTCTTCATCACAAGGTTCCTCAGATGAAAAATTCTCTTATTGCTGAAATTCCGACCCTTCGAACCACAAAATTTGTCATGTCAGATCCCAAGAATTTTGAATTTGTTGGATCAATTCTGGAAGTATTGTTGAAGAGAGTTTCATTAGACAACGTCATTATCAGGGCTTATCAAAAATTTCCCTCTTTTGGTGTTTGTCCCATCCCTGCGGAATTAAAGAAAGTTGTTGATGAAGGTGACAAAACGAAATGAGGTGGTAAAATGAAAGCCAATGTTGTTACTTCTGAAAGCATTGAAGTTACAAATAAATCAAAGAAGCCAGTTCCGAAACCAAGGTCTCCATCACCAGTGCTTCAAGATGAATCCGCAAAAAGAACTGTAATATAAGTATAGGAGGATAAGACTTTCAGAAACGATGTCAAAGATACAACTTATACTTAAGAACCACCCATTATCGAAACATTTCTGAAGGTATCTTCTCTTCCATCCTCTACTATTCCAGAATCTAATATTTTTGAAACTATCATGAAGGACCCATTTCTGAATCTCACCACTCCTCCACATCTACCTCCATTAAATCCACCAACTTTACCCATGTCAATCTCACCTATTACAACTTTCATTCTGATATCCTCCATTCCTTCTCTACCAATGATGAGTTCTGTTGAAAACTATTAACCCCAGATTTCGCAGCCCCAGAATTCAATCCCACTTTCAACTCCCATTTTCATATACTCAACCGTTCCTACAACAACCTCTGTTACAACTTTACCAGAAGTCCCTATTATCAAATCCGTTTCGGAGGAAATTAGGACTTCAGGCATCCCTGGTAACACATCTGATGTGGAGCCAAATGCCAATATTGGTGTCTCTTCTGAACCATCCTCCTTTGTTCCACCAACTTTGCATGAGGATGTTGGTATTTATGTTCGTGGATGATTAAGAACCTCTTGATGATTTTGTCTTCCACCCATTTACTGTTAATATCGATAGTGATAATGATGATGCCCACATGACTAAAGGTCAATTCAAGTAATTGAATAAAAAAACTTGATTCCATTCTGGAAAACTCGAATGCCTTTTCTTCTATCAAATGAGAAAACTATTGACAACTCATAGAGAAACAATAGAAATGCTAACATCAACAAACATTCAGGTTCTTGAACAAACAACAAAAACTGCTCAAGCTTCCAAAAAGAAAATTACATAAGCCACCGAAAAGGTTAATAACCTGATAAAGGAAGTTCAATAGTTCATGTCTGACTTCTGAACCTCCTCAGATAAAAATATGGCTGATATGAACAAGGTCATTGAAAGTTTTCAGACTTCTCTACAAGCAGAAAAAGAGGCTCTTTCTATTCTTAGATTCGGAATTCAAAAAGACAATTTTTATCTTCACACTTCCTTTTCCGAATGAATCCTCCGGCTACAAAATTACTTGGTTGTTGAAAACAAGATCATGGATGCAATGGCTGAGCAAACTCAAAAAATGAAGGTTCTTCAAGAAAAATTCAAAAATGCATCAATTGATATTGCCAAACTTGAGGAAGAGAATATTTTAGTTAAGGGGATAAATTCGAAATCAATCAACGATTGATACGTATTGTGGGGTCCAGAGATGCTCCATTCACTGTTTATGTTGGTCAAATTCTCAGTGAAAAGTTGAAGCATGCATTTGAGAAGCTCAAAGAAATTCAGAATGCTACGAAGAGCAAGGCTCCTTCTCAACAAAGGGGAGAAAAGGAGGTAAATATAAACAATCCGTATCGGACTGGCCCCATAGAAACTAAAGAAGCTGATTTGATCAGGTTGGAAAAAGCAAACTTTGTCTGAAAAATACAAGAATATCAAAGAGGTCAAGACAGTTCGAAAGTACCATGTTTTTTCGGGATCAAGGAAAGGGAATGTCAACATCATTTTGGAAAAAGGCACTAAAGAAGATTCAACATTGACTTAGAAAGAAAAAGTTGAAAGAGAGAAGAGGGATAAAGAACTTGATGAACTCAATGCCCTCAGGTGAAAACTAGATGCTGGAGAGGTTGAGGGCAGGAATTCTGAAATGATTCTTGAAAATAAAAAAATCCTTATTCCCAGCCTGGACTCTTGAACGAATGCAGAAGGAAGCTATTGATGAGCCAAACACTTTTTGGTTAGAACCAAAAACTTCTTTTGATATCAAGAATGAAATAGTGTCAGATCTATTTTTTTCGATCACACAAGGGTCCTTTCTCTTCATATGTATTGAAAAGATAGAGAAATCCTTAATCTCCAACAACAAAACAAATAAAAAGCTCTTCTCATTTCATCTAAAATATGCTAAACCTTAGTACGATTATTGAAGTCTAAATAGAATCGTGGCTCTGAAGGTTAGGCTACCTGCTCAAACTGAATACTTTATGAATATACAATTCAAAGGATTTCGGGGTCACAATCATATTCTTCATGAGTTCACTTTGGCCGATCTACCATTTATGAACCCATATGATTGGGTTATATTATTCTACATTGTTACAAAAGATGTGAAAAAGTTTGAGCCAATTTATGAACAGTTGAGAAGGATGATCAAATGTTACATCCAGGAGATGTGGAAATTACATATGTTCTTAAAAGAAAACCTACATTGACGTCTGCTGAACAACCCCAAAACATTGAAAAAATGAAGGGAGGATCGATTAATAAGGAACACTGGAGCATTGTCTACAAGAGAAAGGAAGGAGAAGTGATTAAGAACCGCATGTTATTTCTAAGAAATAAACACGTGTACTCCACAAATGCTCTGAAAACAATCTTATCTTCAGCTGAATCAAACAATCCAATTCTGCTATCGATGTCAAATGTGTTTTTGATATGATCAACTAGATTCTTTCTGTCCGGGGATCCATTATGAATATTATGGAGAAGATTTTTGAAGATCTGAAGTAATAAATTCTACATTATGCTAATTTGACACAAAGGGGGAGATTATTAAGTTCTTTTTAGTGTTGTGTCAAAGCAGCTGTTTTCAAAATTTTGTCTAGTTCTGATTCAGAAATCGGCATGTCTGCTTTCGGAATCATTATCTTTCATGTCTATAAATAGCGTATTGTAGCTGTCTTTTTTAGTAGTCTTTCCGAGCATAGACAAAATAGTTCCAAACTTGTAAACGAATTGTTCTTATGCTGAGTGAATGAAAATTTTCTCAGTTCAATCATTATCATTTCAAATCATTAGTTCATTTGTTACTTTGTCATTTAATATAGGATTTATCGATCATTTTAACTCTATCAAACCCTCAACTGGGTGCAATCACCACCCTGCGACTCAGTGTGTAGGCCACCACGTTGGCCTTACTCGGGTGGTATAGGATCTCGCAGTCATAATCCTTGACCACGTCAAGCCACCTCCTCTGCCTCATATTCAGGTTCGAATGATCCATAAGGTATCTCAAACTCTTGTGGTCTGTATAAATTGTGCCATGGACCCCGTATAGATAATGTCTCCAAATAATGAAGGAGAAAACCATTGCCCCCAACTCCAAATCATGAGTAAGGTAGTTTGCCTCATGAGGCTTCAACTAACGTGACGTATAAGCAATCACTCTACCCCGCTGCATGAGTACCGCACCCAGACCTGTGATGGAAGCATCACAGTACACACCATAACTTCCATGACCTCTGGAAGGGTCAACACTGGAGCCTCACATAATCTCTTCCACAAAGTCTCAAATGCCTCCTGCTGCTCAGGCCCCCAAACAAAATCCACACCCTTCTTATTTAGACGAGTGAGAGGAACAACAATCTTGGATAAATCCTGGATGAATCTATAATAATACTCAACCAAGCCCAGGAAACTCTTGATCTTTGAGGGAGTCGTCGGGACCTCCCACTGCATCATTGCCTCAATCTTGTCTGAATCGACCAATATCCCATGTTGGTTGACGGTGTATTCAAAAAACTGAACCTCATGCAACTAGAACTTACACTTAAAGAACTTGGCGTATAGCCTCCCCCTCCTCAGAACCTCCAGTAGCTCCCATGGGTGCTCCTCATGCTGCTCTCTGGTCTTAGAAAAGACCAAGATGTCATCGATGAAAATAATAATGGACCACTCGAGCATCAGACACACCTTATTCATCAGATCCATGAATGCTGCTGGTGCATTGGTGAGCCCAAATGGCATCACCACAAACTCATAATGGCCATAACGTCTACGGAAGGTCATCTTCTCTACATCCTCCTCTCTAACTCTGATCTAATGGTACCTTGACCTCAAATCAATCTTGTAGAAACAATATACACCCTGCAGCGAATCAAAGAGGTCATCGGTCCTTGGGAGTGGGTAACGATTCTTCACTGTCAACTTGTTCAGCTCCCGGTAATCAATTCACATCTGATGGATGTCGACATTCTTCTTCACAAACAGGATCGGTGCTCCCTAAGGTGAACTGCTCGGTCGATTGAATTGCTTGCCCAACAGTTCCTTCTCAAATACAAGTTAATTTAAAAAAAGGTCAACATAAAAATGTTGGTGAGTTAATAAGCATGTTTGACAAAAATGATTTGTATAACTTTGTAACCACCAGAAAATCCTATATTTTCTGAAAACAGTTTAGTATGTTTGTGTCCGATTTTGTATTAATGCATGTGTGTTAATGTTTACTAGAATGCAAAAAGAGAATGAAGCGAATGTAAAGAGAATGCCCCCAGACAACCCGATATTTTCTGTGAAAGAGAATGATGGTATATCAACCCCCGAGGTTGAGTACCGGCGCGAGTATGTTCCCGAGTAATCCAATGAGAAAAGAGAATGGTCTCCCGTAAATTTTATAACATTAATTCCTCTAAGTGAATCGTTATAACTGATGGGTTTTGAGCATTCTAACACTTCCTAAGTGTACATGCAACCCTAATAACCTTGGATCTATGTTTGTCTAATTGTCATGCAAAGTTGAATTCCAAGGTTATATTCCTATCTAGCATACATAGGGAACAATTTTAACATAAAGCATAGATAGAATAACTTACCTTGTTGTTGTTTGTGTTCCTTGAAACCTTGTGAGCCTAGCACCCCAAGTGTGATGCCTCAAATGCTTCACACAACACCAAATGCTCTTGGAAGAACTTATGAGAGAATACTCACTTCTCAAAATCGGCCAAGCCCTCTTGATTCTTAGTGTAGCAGATTTTGGGTGGAGAATATGTTACTTATATAGTGTGACACATCTAGGTTAAACCCTAATGTGTCATGACTCTTCATTTCCATGACCCATGGGTTTGTAACTCCCATGGAGCATCCATGGAGCATCCTATGGGTGGAACCCAACTTGATAGTCCATGGAGCCTTTTAGCCCACTATACAAGATATGGATGATTTACATAATCAACCCATATATTTAATTAGTTATCTTTTGATCACTTAATTAATTCTAAATTAATTCTTGATCAAACTAATCAAATAATATTATTAATATATTAGAACTTATAATATATTAATAATCTCCAAGTGTTATTTCTCTCATTTAGTCTATCCAATTGCATGGTGCCATGCAACCCAAATGGACCATGCCGGTCGGGTCAACTACATACCAGAAATAGTTATGGACTTAGACACCTTATCCAACAGTCTCCCACTTGGATAAGTCTAATAACTATTACTGCAAGTATGACTTCAGGAACCGATCGGCAATCGTAGCTCTTTACAAGGTTTCTCGAAACTGAGAAATGATGGTACGCCATTTAAGATAAGTGATCATATAATCCTCTGTTCTAGATATCAGTCGGACAAATACATGGAACAATGTCTTACTTATTGTCCAACAATTTGTTTCCCGATTTCGATTTGTTTGACAAAGAACTTCATTGAACACATCAATTTAGTTCTGACCGGGCCCGGTACATAGGTCAAAACAAAATCATCGAGGGGCCCAGATATCAGCTTCTAATCCAAGAAGGAACAGATAAACTTCGACTCATATGTTTGTTCTACTACTCATTGAATTACACACAAGAGCACGATTTTATAACATCGAGTTACCAATGCGTTTTTCGTACAATCAATGCATAACCAACTTGTAAGTAACAAATCATATCTCTAGGTTTAAAGACTTATATGATATTACCGTCTCACGATCACTCGAGATAGAATTCCATGAAGTGATTCCAGTGAGCGTGGGTTGAGTCCAATGCTCAGAACTTATGAGCACTCATGATTGTTGTAGCCTTGTCCCAGACCTCTACAACCAAACATGACAGTCTTGATTCATACCTACTTCCGACATATGACCGACTGTGGAGATTTGAATAATATGTTATACCAAACAAAATTATTCTGGAAGTCAAAACATGCAAAAGAAATATAGTAAACGATCGACAAGAGATAGTAACAGTTTAGCATAAATAAAACATTTTTATTCATCATCAAATGTCAATTACACTTTACAAATTTCGAGGTTATCTAACTACTAAATCTAACATCATCCTTCAGCCCTATGCTCCGAGCATGCTGGAGATGCTTAATCCGAGTCAGTCCCTTCGTGAGGGGATCTGCCGGATTCTCATCTGATGATACCCTCTTTGCCACGAGGAGTCCTTCTTCGATCCGATGTCTGATGAAATGGTATTTTCTGTCGATGTGTTTGGATCTCCCGTGATCCCTTGGTTCCTTGGCTAAGGCAACAGCACTTTCACTATCACAGAAAATTTCCATCGGCTCTTTAATAGCTGGTACAACTCCAAGGTCTCCAATGAAGTTCCTCAGCCATAAAGCCTCCTTTGCTGCCCGCTAGCTGCAATATACTCTGATTCACAAGTAGAATCTGCCACTGTCTCTTGCTTGGAACTCTTCCAAGAAATTGCTCCTCCATTTAGGTAAAGACCCAGCCCGACTGAGAGCGAAAGTTATCCCTATCAGTCTGGAAGCTAGCATCACTATACCCTACAACTCTCAAGTCATCACTCCCACCGAGGGTAAGGACCAGTCCTTAGTCCTTCGTAGGTACTTGAGAATATTTTTACCGCAGTCCAGTGTGCCTTGCAGGGTTCCCCTGAAACCTGCTAACCATGCTTAAGGCAAAGGCTACATCAGGTCGAGTACACGTCATAGCATACATGATCGAACCTACAGCCGAAGCATAAGGTACTCGACTCATTTCTGCTATCTCAGCCTCAGTGCTAGGGCTTTGTGTCTTACTCAACTTGGCGCTACTCTGGATGGGCAACTCTCCTTTCTTGGAGTCTTGCATTCTGAATCTCTTCAGAACCTTCTCCAAGTAGGTACTTGACTAAGTCAATTAGTCTTTTACTCCGATCTCTCAAGATCCTTATCCCTAAAATATAGGCAGCTTCACCAAGGTCCTTCATAGCGAAACACTTTCCAAGCCAGGACTTTACTTCCTGCAGGGTTGGAATGTCGTTTCCTATGAGTAGTATGTCATCCACATACAATACCAAAAAGCTAACTATACTCCCACTAGCCTTGACATATACACAAGATTCATCTTCACTCCTAGAAAAGCCAAATTCCTTGACCTTTTCATCAAAGCAAAGATTCCATCTGCGAGGTGCTTGCTTTAATCCATAAATGGATTTCTCAAGCTTACACACTCTATTAGGGTACTCGTTACTGACAAAACCCTCTGGCTGACTCATGTAAACATCTTCAGCCAACTTCCCATTAAGGAAAGCGGTTTTGACATCCATTTGCCAAATTTCATAGTCATGAAATGCGGCTATGGCTAACAGAACCCGAATAGACTTAATCTTGGCTACTGGAGAAAAGGTCTCATCATATCCACTCCAGGAATTTGAGAGAAGCCCTTTGCAACCAGTCTAGCCTTATAAGTGTGTACTTTACCATCCATGTCGGTCTTCTTCT